GGTACGGTACGGTACGGTACGTAGGTAGGTACGGTACGTAGTAGTAGTAGTGTAGGTAGAGAGAGTAGAGAGTGNGAGAGAGAGNGNNGNNTGGNGGAGAGAGGGAGAGGGAGAGGCAAACGAGGAAACGGAGAGGGTCCGAAGCGGCCAAAGCGAGGCTCGAGATTGGCAGCCCCGACTTCCGGGCTTTGGTCGACGAGGACATCAACGCGACGCGCGCTGGCGACCCAAAGCAGGCCCAACCCAACCCAACCCAACCAGGCGCGCCCTCAGGGAGAGAGAGGGAGAGGGAGAGAGAGAGGCAGACCCACGGTGTTGGACTGCCTGCAGGCAGCCACAGGCAGGCAAGGCAGACTCAGGGCGTCACCGCTCTCTGTCTCTGTCTCTCTGTCTCTGTCTCCCACCCTCGACCACCCGACAACGCCACCGAGGACCCGCCACGCACATCCAATCTTGCGCCTTTTACCCCCTCGGAGCAAGACGCCCCTCCTCTCCGCCATGTCGACCGACACCGAGTCCCAGCTGGCGCCGCTGCTCGCCGAGCACTTTGGCCCAGAGATCCACGACGACCCCGCCCTGCTGGCCGAGTCGACGTCGCTCTGCCTGCGCTACAACCTCACCCCCGAGGCGCTCTACTACAAGTGGTCCGCACACGCCTTCAACAACAAGCTGCCCACCGACCAGAGAATGACCCTCGACCACGCCCGCCAGCTCAGAAACACCATCGCCGCAGAGCACAACCACGCCGCCGTCGCGGCCAACGCAGCCATCCACGCAAGCACCCCGCTCAAACCCTCGGCGCACGGCAACCTGCACATCGCATCGGCCAGGCAGGGCAACGCCGCCCTCAATCAGATCCTCGGCCTCGGCTCAAAGGCAGGTGGCGCCGCCGCCAGCCCCTCGGCGGGTCCCCACGCCACCCCCTTCCGCAGGCAGCCACCGACCCACGCGGCCGTCGACAGCCCCTTCAAGACGCCCTCGAGGCCCGCCCACGCCAGCTCCATGGATGCCACTCCCACGTCTGCATCCGCCTACCGCACACAGTCCACCACCGTCAACGACATCGCCATGGCCAACGCTTCCACAGAATTTGACTCGCCGTCTCACCGGCCGCCATACCCCTCGACGAGCCGCAACACCAACGTCGCAGCCGCCAGCAGCAGCAGCAGCAGCAGCACCTACCGGATCCTCGAGAGCATCAACCGCGAGCACGCCCTCGATGGCAGCGGCTGCCACCTCGTCGCCGGCACCAAGCGTCGCGCCGACCTCGCCGTCGCCACCGACCCGCGCGCCTGGAACTACCGCTACATGTTTGAGAAAAAGGGCGAGCGCTCCCAGGTGCTCGACGACCGCATCGACCAGTTTGCCTCGCTGATGCGCGAGGCCTACCGCTTCGACGACGAAGTCGAGCTCGGCGACCCCTCGATGCCGTCGCAGGAGCCCATCTACGTCGTCGGCCGCATCTGCCCAGGCATGCTGCCGGCATCGGCCACGGCCGCCGGTGGCTCGCGCAGCCGGCCCAAGCAGACGACGACGACGACGACGACGACGACGACGACGACGACGGCCTCCGACGTCAACGGGGGGGAAGAGGAGCTGGCATTCGACGACCCGTCGGGCCTGCCCAAGATGGCCGAGACGGGCATCGTGCTCGAGGCGAGCCGGATGATGGGCAGCGGCAACCGCGTCCCGATCTTTATGCAAAAGGGCTGCCGGGTGCGCTACGGGCCCGAGGATCCCGGCACCATGGGCTCGGCCACCACCGTCGGCCTCTTCCCAGGTCAGATTGTGATGCTCAAGGGCATGAACGGCGGCGGCGAGCGCTTCGGCGTCGAAGAGATCCTGATGCCGCCGCGGCTCGCGCACCCGGCTGCGCCGGCCGACGAGCTGCAGCAGAACCAGTACGACGCGCGCAAGCTCGACGGCAAGGCGCTCAACGTGGTGACGGCCAGCGGCCCGTTCACCAACGACGGGGACCTCGAGTTTCGGCCGTGGCATCGCGCCATGGACGCGATCGAGGCGGGTGGCCTGCCGATCGACGAGATCGACGGTGACGACGAGTCTGGCATGGCGGACGGCGGCCGGCGGCGGCGAGGGGTGCCAGACGTGCTGATCCTGCTGGGACCCTTCCTGTCGACATCGCACCCGGAGCTGCCCTTTTCGGAGCGGCTGCCCGAAGAGCTGTTCCGGGATCACATCGCAAGCCGGATCCAGGGGCTGACGTCGCGCTACCCGGCGCTGCTGGTGGTGCTGATGCCGTCGACGCTCGACATCCTCAACACGCACGCGGCCTACCCGCAGCCTGGGTTTGGCTCGCACGAGGGGCTGGGCTTCTCGGCGGCGGACAAGAGGCAGGTCAAGCTGCTGCCCAACCCGTCGGTGTTTTACGTCAACGAGCTGGTGTTTGCCGCCACGACGGCCGACGTGCTGCGGGACCTCAAGAGCGAGGAGCTCGTCTGCCGGATCGAGGCGTCGCCCAACCTGCCTACTCCGGCAGTGGCGGCGGCGGCGGCGGCGGCGTCGGCGAGCAAGGATGCGATGACGCGCCTGAGCCGACACCTGCTCAACCAGCGCAGCTTCTACCCGCTGTTTCCGGCGCCGCTATCGACGGGCGTGGTGGCGCTCGACGTGTCGCACTCGGAGCTGCTGCAGTTCCCCGCGGCGTCGCCCGACGTGCTGATCCTGCCGTCGTCGGTCAAGCAGTTTGTGCGGGTGGTGGACTCGACGGTGGTCGTCAACCCGGGCCGGATGGTGGCGCCCTCGACGGGCGCGGCTGCCTCGTCGGGCGCGAGCCTGGCGTCGCTGCACGTCTCTGCCATGGAGCGCGGGGAGCTCGAGCGCCGGGTCGAGGAGCAGGACATTGCCGTCGAGCACCGGGCCTACGAGCGGACGAGGGTGGATGTGGTGTCGCTGTAGCTTGGCGTCGTCTGGTGGCCCGATCGAGGCCAAGGCGATGTCGACGTCGACGTCGGTTGATGATGCCCGTGACTCTTCTACCGTATCTACATGTTTGGATGCTCGCCTTGCCCGTCGATTATTGCTTTTTTGCCGTGATGAGGAGCGCTTGGCTGCCGGCGATTTGGGAAGAGGCAGTCAGGCTGTCGTCGGAGCGCGGCTCGGTCAAACCTCGGCGCGATGGCAGGCCGGTGCGTCGATGGCCAGTGCCTGCCAGGCCAGGCCAGGCCAGGCCCCTCCACACCTGAGCCTTCCCTCGTCGAGGCTCGACGATGTCGACCTTTGCTCGAGCGCACAGCAGCGACGTCGAGATATCGCGGTGGTCCAAAGCTGCCCCGCCGTCGCCTCGGTGCTGCTGTACGCCACGTCGGCCCGCTCTCTGGCCTGGCCTGCCAAAGTGGAAAGAGGGCGGCGAGATGACGATGGCGGGCTGGCGGTACGTTTTGGCTTTTTGGCCGAATGCAGGGCCCGCAGCTCATTCTTGCTTTTTTTTATCGATGGCCCGCCGCACTGGCCTCCGCTTCTCGATCTGTCTCTGCCTGCCTGCCTGTTTGCCTGGCTGGCCCACCACGCGCCTGCTTGCTTTCTTCCCCAACCCACCACCCTCCCGCCTGCTGCTGGCCTCCCCCTCTCCATTCTTGCCCGGGCACCGCCTGCTCATCTTCTCCCATCGACCCCGCACCATCACATCCAATCCGTGGCGCAGCTCAGTCCTCGTGCAGGCACCTCGAGTCAAGCACGCCCTCGCTGCCCGCTCGCTCCGGCTCGACGCAACCACCACCACCATCACCACGGCCAACACCACCCACGACCCTCGACACGCGCCCGCCTCCTCGGCCGCATCCTCTGGTGCCAACTGCTGCTCGGACTCAGACCCCTACACGCCCATCATGGCCTCCTCGTCGTCTGCGGCGCCGCCTCGCCGCCTCGCCGTCATGACGTCCGGCGGCGACAGCGCAGGCATGAACGCCGCCGTCCGCGCCGTCGTCAAGATGGCCATCTTCCGCGGCTGCGAGGCATTCGTCATCCGCGAAGGCTGGGAGGGCCTCGTCCGCGGCAACCACTCGCCCGACGGCACCCCGATCACCACGCCCGCGCTCAGCAGGAACAACTCGGGCTTCTTCGACTCCCTCGACCCCAGGGGCCGGGTCGACCAGCAGTTTGGCGGAGCGGCGCAGCACGGCGAGGCGGTAGCAGCAACAGCGGCGGCAGCGGCGGCATCGACGACGGTCGAGGGTCAGTTCGTCCCCACCTATGGCGAGGGAGAGGCGCTGCGCGAGGGCGTCGGCGAGGCGCAGGAGCTCGGGCTGCGCGGGCGCTACATCATCCGCGTCGGCTGGGACGACGTCAGGGGCTGGATGGACCAGGGCGGCACCCTCATCGGCACTGCCCGCTGCAAAGAGTTTCGCACCGTCGAAGGCCGCGAGAAGGCCGCCTACAACCTCATCGTCAACGGCATCGACGCCCTCGCCGTCTGCGGAGGCGACGGCAGCCTGACGGGCGCCGACCGGCTGCGCGCCGAGTGGCCCGACCTGGTCGCCTCGCTGCTGCAAAAGGGCCGCATCACCGACGAGCAGGCGACGCGCTACGCCCACCTCAACATTGTCGGCCTCGTCGGCTCCATCGACAACGACATGGCCACCACCGACATCACCATTGGCGCGTCGACGGCGCTCCAGCGCATCTGCGAGTCGATCGACTCGATCTCGAGCACCGCCGCGTCGCACTCGCGCGCATTCGTCGTCGAGGTCATGGGCCGCCACTGTGGCTGGCTCGCCGTCATGGCGGGCATCGCCACGGGCGCCGACTACATCTTTATCCCCGAGCAGCCGCCGCAGCGGGGCGATCACTGGTCGTCGGAGATGTGCGACGTGCTGCGCCGCCACCGCGAGCTGGGCAAGCGCAAGTCGATTGTCATCATCGCCGAGGGCGCCCACGACCGCGACCTCAACGAGATCAAGCCCGAGATGGTCAAGGACGTCCTCACCCACGAGCTCGGCCTCGACACGCGCGTCACCACGCTCGGCCACACGCAGCGGGGCGGCAAGCCCGACGCCAACGACCGCATCCTCGCCACGCTCCAGGGCGTTGAGGCCGTCAACGCGGTGCTCGAGGCCACGCCCGAGACGCCGTCGTACGTCATCGGCATGACCGAGAACAAGGTGACGCGCATCCCGCTGATGCACGCCGTCGAGCAGACGCAGCGCGTCGCGGCCGAGATCGAGGCCAAGAACTTTGACGCGGCGCTGGCGCTGCGCGACCCAGAGTTTGAGGAAGGCCTGCGCGCGTTCAAGATCATCAGCCAGATCACCGAGGCCAACCGGCTGCCGGCCGACCAGCGGCTGCGGATCGGCATCATCCACATTGGCGCGCCGGCGGGCGGCATGAACGCGGCGACGCGGACCATGGTACGCTACTGCCTCGACCGCGGCCACGAGCCCGTCGTCATCTACAACGGCTTCAACGGCCTGCTCGAGGACAACGTGTCGGTCCTCAGCTGGCTGCGCGTCGACAACTGGGCCACGCGCGGCGGCTCCGAGCTCGGCGTCAACCGCAACCTGCCCGACATTGACCTCGGCGCCGTGGCGGCCAAGTTCCAGCAGCACCGCATCGAGGCGCTGCTCATGATCGGCGGCTTCGAGGCGTTTATGTCGGTCAAGATCCTCGACGACAACCGCGAGCGGTACCCGGCGTTCCGGATGCCCATCGTCGCGCTGCCGGCCACCATCTCCAACAACGTGCCGATGAACGAGTTTTCCCTCGGGTCCGACACGAGCCTCAACGCGCTGGTCGACGCGTGCGACGCCGTCAAGCAGTCGGCCTCGGCCTCGCGGAACCGCGTGTTTGTCGTCGAGACCCAGGGCGGCAGGTGCGGCTACATTGCCGTGGCGGGCGCGCTGGCGGCGGGCGCGGTGCTCGTCTACACGCCCGAGCAGGGCATCGGCCTGCAGCAGCTGGGCAAGGACGTCGAGTTCCTCAAGAAGCGCTTTGCGCTCGACGTCAAGGGCAAGAGCGAGGGCAGGCTCGTCATCCGGTGAGTGGCGGGCACAGAGCGAGCACGCGCGCGCTCAGAGACACGGAGAGGAAGAGAGACGGCCAGCGTTCTGACATGGCGCGCGCGCCCCTCTTGGCTCCGCGCCCTCTTCTCCCCGTTGCAGCAACGAAAAGTCGTCCGAGGTGTTTACGACCGAGGTCATCACCAAGATCCTCAAGGAGGAAGGCGCGAGCCTGTTCGACTCCCGCTCCGCCTCGCTGGGCCACACGCTGCAGGGCGGCACGCCGTCGCCGCTGGACCGGATCCGCGCCACGCGGCTGGCGCTCAAGTGCTGCCAGTTCCTCGAGGCCAAAGCGCTCGAATCGCGACGTCGGACCAGGCGGCAGCAGCCCGGCGGCAGCAAGGCCGACGCCGATGGGGCGGCGGCGTACAGCGACGACACGGCCGTCATGATTACTATCCAGGGCGCCAAGATCTGCTTTGCCACGGTCAAGGAGATGGCCAAACACGCCGACATGAAGAACCGCCGCGCGAAAAAGGCGTGGTGGCACGACCTCAAGGCCCTCGTTGAGCTCATGGGCGGAAGGTGGGTCTCGTCTCGTCTCGTCGTGTCGTGTCGGGTCCCTCCCGGCGCGGCGATGCGTCGTGGGTGCGGGCTCGGACCATACCGTCGCTGACGTCTTCCTTCCTTTAACTTTCTGCTCTTTTGCGCATCGGCCAGGACCGGACTCGGCAACCTCTGAGTGCACGGTAGGAGATTCGGTGCTTCGGTCTGTCTGTTGTCGTTCTGACGCCATGTAATACGATTCCATGCTTCGCGCCTTTGCCCTCTCTTGCGCCACGGAGCCTCATCTAGAAGATGCAGATCGAGTTGGGCGACGAGGCGATGCCGCCCGTGACTGCGTGCCGGTTGCGTACGGAGGGGGGTAGGGGAGATGGAGGGCGAGCGTGTCAGCCAGTCGGACGGCCGGGGGACACAGCCGGGTGGCACGATGGATGGTAGGCGGCCGGGCGACCAGCCGGCCTGCCGGTCTACGCACCTCGGTAGGGGGCGCTGGTGATGAAGAACGACCAGCGATCGTGTGCCTTGCACGTCTGCGAGAGGCGCTCGAGGTCGAAGAGCTCGCCTGGCGTTTGTGGCGTCGCGGCAGCGTGCGAATCGCAGGGGGGCTGGGTGAGTGTCCAAGCATCGACTTTGCAAGCGGGCGCGAGGGCGGGCAAGGGGCAGATGCTCACCAATCGGACAGCCCCACATGGGCAGCAGCCAGTTGTGGAGCCACAGATCTGCGTCGCGGGATGGACGGAAGGCAGCAGGCAGCAAGCAGCAAGCAGCAAAGACGAGGGCGAGGAAAACGGTGAGCGGCCGGGGCGGGCATCCTCGAGCCTTTTCGCACTCACCACCGTGCGGTCCGTGCTCAAACGAAGGGTTATCGGCGGCGACGGCGGCAAACTTGTGGTTCCAGAGCCAGCGCTTGCTCTCCTCTGTCGGCTCAAAGCCCGGGAAGTTGTCGTCGCCGGTAAAGGCTTCCTGCTTCTGGCGCATGGATGCCGACTCGCACCAGCGGACGACGCCCGTGCGCAGCAGGAGGATGTCGCCGGGCCGGAGCTCGGTGCGCTGGTGGGCCAGGACGGCCTCGATCTGCGAGAGCGGGATGGGGTACGACGTGTTGCCCGCGGGCAGCGGGTCGGAGCGCGTCTCTTCCCACCAGCGCACCCAGTCGACGAGGACGCCGCGGCCCGCTATCCCGCCCGCCATGCACCAGTGGTGGATGCCGAGGTGGTTGCGGCTGGCGGCGTCGTCGGCGGAGTGGAGGTCTTGGTGGCGCAGACCCTGGTAGTAGACGCCGTTGGTGCCTTGGCGGTCATCGTTCCAGGCAAAGTGGGCGAAGCCGTCAAACTGCGACGACGTCTGGGTGTTGAGGTGGAGCTCGTCGTCGGTGGCGTAGACGCCGAGCGAGGCGTGGAGGTCGACGAGGCGGTGGTGGAAGGGCTTGCGGTCGATGAGGGGCACGTCGACGCTGTCGAGCCCCCAGTCGATCTGGACGCGCTCGCCCGTGCGCACCTCGCTCGCCGCCGCCGCCGCGACGACTTGGGGGGTGAGGAGGTTGAGCGTGCCCAGCCGGTCGTCGCGGCCCCAAAAGTTCCAGGCGCACCCGGCCGGCTGGCCCTCGACGGGAGGCAGGTCGTCGAGGTCCGGCACGGTGCGCCAGTCGACTTTGCCGCCCGTCGACCAGCCGGGCGACGAGGACGACGAGGACGAGGAGGGCGCTGCAGCGGTGGCTGGTGGTGGAGCTGGCGATGGTGGTGCCATGGCAGTCGGTTGTCGGATGATGATGGACGCGAGGGAGGGGAACCGGCTGCTCCTCTGGCTCCTCACAGTCTCTGACGGGCTTGATCCACCGGCGATCCTGGCCAGCCTGCTCGAGCCAGGCGAGCCGGCACCTTGCAAAGAGCAAAGATGATGGACCTCGACTCGGCGGGTCAACCGAGGCCAGGCAGGGCTGACTTGGCTGGCTGGCCGGTGGGTGCGGCTCCTCTCCACCTGGCCTACCCCCGCACTCTGTCAGAGTCGCTACTTGACCGGCGTCTGCCTCGGGCTCGCCCCGGCCAATTCCCCCGCAGCCCCCACTCTGATCGCCGATCTTGACCTTTTTGATTTTCTGCTTTTCCCGATGACCCGATGGGAATGCGAGGCAGGCAGCGCCGGGCACGGCATTATAAGATTCATGACGCCGCTGGCTTGGCAGGCCTGGCAGGCAGGCGGGCTGGCACGTTGCCTCGTTGGGTGCGTGCGTGGGTGCGTGCGTGCGTGTGTTTTTGAAAAAAGGCGGGGAAGGCCGAGGCAGAGGCAGGGGCAGGGAGGGGCACGAGTCGACCTCAAAACCTCAGGCCCGGCTACGGCTGGCTGGCTTGCGTGGCACGTTCCCCTCTTCTCTGTTGGCCGCCACCGACACTCGTCTGCGGCCGACAACGAGGTACCGGTAGCGCTCATCCAACCACCATCCGGCGTCGGTACGGTTGCGCCGCAGCCGAATCCCACAAACAGCCAGGCAAGGCAAGGCTAGGCTAGGCTAGGCTGGGCCCCCTCGACTCGACGCAACGTCACCGCATACTGTACCGGTGTCGCAGCCACAGCAACCATTCGTCCAGACGCACGACCTCAGCCGGCCTGACCAGCCTCGATAGCCCCCGGGGCGCAGCAGTCGTCACGACCATCACGGCCACCACCACCGCCATCATCCTCTTCACCTCCTCGCAGCTCCCACTGGCGCTTGAGCGTGCCTCCATCTCTCAACGGCCTCGCATCCTAGCAACCACCGCTGCCTAGGGCCCCCGGGCCTCTCCTCCCCCGTCACGACCCCCCTCCCCCTCCACGGCGTCCTCGCCCGCCACCACAACCACCCACGCCGCCCGCCATGTCGTCCTTCATCTTTGCGGACCGCTTCGTCCTGCCAGAGACGTCGCCGCTGCTGTCGCCGCGGCTGCACCGCCTCTTCTACGTGTCGCTCGCGCTCCAGCACGCCGCCTTCCACCTCGTCTCCAACACCTGGCTCAAGGGCGAGGGCAAGGAGATGCTCAAGAAGCGCTGCTGGATCCTCACCACCATGGCCAGCGCCGTCATGTGCGCCGCCAGCCTGCCCTACCTCGCCGACCTGGCCCGCAGCGGCTTCGACCTGCATCAGCTCCGTCCGCGCACTGCCACCGTCGCCGAGCCGCTGGCCGCGTACTTTGTCGCCTACCTCGTTTCCGACCTGGGCCTCGGTTCCATCTACTACCGCAGCATGATCAACCTCTCGAGCGGCTGGGTGCATCACATTGGCTACATCTTTCTCTTTAGCTGGTGGGTCCACCGCGGCTGGGCCCACCTCGCCGCCACCGCCGCCATCTTTGAGCTGCCCACCCTCATCATGGGCCTCGCCTCGATCCACCCGCCCCTCCGCTCCAACAACGCCTTCACCGCCACCTTTTTCGCCACCCGCATCTTCTACCATTTCGCCCTCGCCCTCGCCAGCTGCACCGAGTACGGCCGCAGCATGCCCGGCGTCGGCGGCAGCTGGGGCCCCGTCGTCAGCATGATTGTCACCTACCCCATGCACGTATGGTGGGGCTACAAGTGCATCCTCAGCGTCCGCAGGCGGATGCGCAAGCGCAAGCTCGCCGCCAGGGAGGTCCAGAGCGCCAAGGCGTCGCTCGCCGCATCCGCCGGACAGCTCCTCACCGGCCTGCCCGCGCCTGACGTCAGCAGCGCCGTCAACACGCCCGCCACGACCCCGGGCGCCGGCGCGGTGCCCGCCACGGCCAACTTTGGCTCCACGGGGCCCGTCCACACGGCGTTTGCCAAGGCCGCGTCCATGGCGCGCCCGCCGGTCAACCTGCTGCTGCCCAAGTCGCGCCGCAGGTCGGCCGATGCCGTCGGCGGCGCGGCCGCTGGCCCGTCTGCTGCCGCCGTCAGCGACGAGCAGCTGCTCAAGCAGGCGCCCCTCCTCAACCGCAGGCTGTCGAGCAAGTACATCAACACGCAGTCGGTCTTCACCGCGCCCGTGGCTCCGGACGGCGCGAAGCCCGACGACGCC